ATAGCAATGCAATGGCAAACATTCACAACTGTAGCACTGTGGTAATGGAGAATTGCATGTTCTAGCACTACTCACATGCTCTTTAGTAAAAATTAACTGAACAATTACAGTCAGTGATTCATATATGTTTGTGCAATGTTGGCTGGATCTCCGGAAAAATTAAACAGCTCGATGGAGGAACAAGTGCTTCTGATTACTATTTGTGTGCAGGTTTTGAAGGACCACATTTTTGGACCAAACAATCAAGTTTTGTTTAAATCTAATATATATACAGGTTTGAGAGTTAAGAGTTAAAACATTTTGCATATAAAAACTCTTCACTAATACAGTGAAATGCATGTGTGTGTTTAAGTCTGAAAGACTGCAGCAAACCGAGAAGAAGCTGGTAAGCAGCAAGGAAACATATTTTACCTATAAAAGGAGTTTTCTCCCTCAACTCCTCAGATTTTCATGTGGCTTGCCAGCAAAAAAGAACAGAAAAATGTAATCCCTAAATCTCAGCAGCATCGACCTGCACCCCGTTTGGAAACACCAGTCTCCTTCCAATGGCTTTTAAATGTTTAATGCCACTCGCTCCTCTGTGATGAGGAAATAGCCATTTAAAACGAGCGATTTGGAGACAAACGAAGCGAAACAATCTCAAGATGTGAGATAACGGCCCACATCATGGACGCCTGCCAGGGAGATCCAGTAACAGCGGAGGCAGGCGCAGTTGCATGCGAGGTAAATCGAGGCATTTGAGGCATGCATTAGACAACTCAACAGCATGTGGTGGAAGAAACGACAGCCGTGACCTTCTCAAACATAAGTGTCTGCATGTTCAGCCGCACACGTCAGGAACTACCGCCCCACGCCGTTAATTACACCGCTGTCACAATTACAGACAGAAAAGAGAAGAGACGCCAATCCCTCGAGACCTCCGTTCAACCTACGAAAAAAGCCCCATCCTCGGCTTCAAAAGCGAAACTTTCAAAGGCGTTTAATTCTCGGAGAGCCTGTGTGTTCATGGGTTTTCGCAGCATAATGTTACTAGTCAGTAAGCTGACAAAAGTTTTGCTTTGAAACAAATTCCCTGTTTTGTGAATACTGATGCTTTGCATGTGCCCAAAAAACCCCAGGCAACTTTTACAGACTTCCCCGATAGAAATAATGTGACATGTTTGTAAATAATTCTCACAAAGTCTTCCTCTGAAGCACAAAATCCCACCTAGACAACTAGCTGAGCCTTGCAAAAGTTCTGTGGCAGTACCATGGCACAGTCATAATAGATTAGTACTTTAACATGCCATGGTATTTTGATATTAATACTCCAAAAAACTAACACAAACACATTACATCCCAAAAAACAAAAACCAAAGGTAATGCCAGGATATGTCCCAAAACATTGCTATTACCATGGTAGCATGCCTAAAAAAATCATGGTAAAACCAAGGTATTTAACAGCATAGAAAGCATAACACATGGATCAATCATGATAACTTTTTCATCTATGAAGTTACATTAAAAAGGCAATTAATACAGACTGAAATTATTGGAAAACACCTCTTGTACGATGATTCTGATTTAAAATTAATTTTGATATTTTTTTTTAAGAATAAATATAACAAGGTGGTGTAAAACTCTGGAGATAGTAATAAGGTTTTTCAAGTACTTCAATTAATGGAACTTTAACAAATTCCCTGTTTTGTGAATACTGATGCTTTGCATGTGCCCAAAAAACCCCAGGCAACTTTTACAGACTTCCCCGATAGAAATAATGTGACATGTTTGTAAATAATTCTCACAAAGTCTTCCTCTGAAGCACAAAATCCCACCTAGACAACTAGCTGAGCCTTGCAAAAGTTCTGTGGCAGTACCATGGCACAGTCATAATAGATTAGTACTTTAACATGCCATGGTATTTTGATATTAATACTCCAAAAAACTAACACAAACACATTACATCCCAAAAAACAAAAACCAAAGGTAATGCCAGGATATGTCCCAAAACATTGCTATTACCATGGTAGCATGCCTAAAAAAATCATGGTAAAACCAAGGTATTTAACAGCATAGAAAGCATAACACATGGATCAATCATGATAACTTTTTCATCTATGAAGTTACATTAAAAATGCAATTAATACAGACTGAAATTATTGGAAAACACCTCTTGTACGATGATTCTGATTTAAAATTAATTTTGATATTTTTTTTTAAGAATAAATATAACAAGGTGGTGTAAAACTCTGGAGATAGTAATAAGGTTTTTCAAGTACTTCAATTAATGGAACTTTTTTCCCCAGCAAGAAGATTGGTATAATATTTTATTATCATCTCTTCAAAAACAGTGGCAGTTTTATTTTAAAATATTAATATTTGAAAACTAAAAAAAAAAAAAACAATAACAGGAAATTATATTAGAAAGTGAACCCTTGTAGACCCTTCATGTTTTTTTGTCAATGTCAGTATTATTATTATTATTATTATTAATAATAATAATATTATTATGATAATTATTATTTTAATTCAGACAACGTTAAGCAGATATCATATTTTTTTTAAATAATGTAATTTGTAAAAAAAAAAAAGTAGTAATAATAATAATAATAAATTATGAAAATAATGAAGATGTGCACACTCAAGGAAAATATTTATGTACTTAAAATAAATGTTATTATTACCTCACTTGACATTTTCATACATTCATAAAATACAACTTTTGTAGTACTGTTCAAACATTTTTAAATGTTTTTATAAATGAGTTTTAAATTAGATTTGTAAACAATTTTCCCTTCTCATATTTTTGTATATCCTTATTTGTCTACAGAAAGAACAGACAGAATCAAAATCATCTGCATGTTTAAAAAAAAACGAGACCTGAGGAGGTAATAAAATGTCATCACAACAAAAATAAAACAAATATTACAAAATACGAGATTCAAACAGTATGTACAGCATTCTTTTTCAAAGAAGAAAATATCCAACAGCACTGATTTACGATGGATGATGGATGTCAGAGCTGATTTAGTCCATTTATAGTGGATTACTCTGGGAAAAAAAAAAAAAAAACATACCCAGGCAGTTTATTCCTAATAATCCAGTCAGCTACATGCCGCTGAGGGTAAGACTCCAGAAACTCCTACAGGCCAGTAGATGTACATGATATAACACTGAGAAACAGGTTTTGACAGTTGGACGGCTCGAAAACAGCGCTACTAGTTAATCTGGCTTGAGGAACTGATCAAACCTCATAGTGCATCCCTCGCATTCTCTGCTTCTGTCAAGTTTTCAGCAATTTCTGATAGAAGACCATCCTGTAAAACCTCTGAAGCTATTTCCAGACTTGTCAGTGACAGATGCTTATTAGCCACTTGTAGTCAGATCCTCTTTTTGTCAAAATGTGATTTGTGCTTTGCTTCCAGCTGCTATTTGTCTCCTGACAGGACGGAGTAATGGCGTGCCTCACAGGCTTCTGTTGAACATCGCTGCCACGTCTATAACAGATTTCTCTGTGATTGCTGGTGCAATGGTTTTGCTGATGTTAAAGTTGATTTCTTTAGAATTTTGCTTTTCTTTTGCAATTTTTTTTGGAATCATCCCTACCGCCTGACAGACACCACAGAATCAGGCATCCTGCGAAATCATACTCGTCTTTGTGACAATCCTAATCTTTGGAAATGGCAAAAAAAAGAATTTGAATGGGATTGGGTTACAAGTCATTTTGCATTTCTGTTTGGTGCCACTAGTGCTGCACGTTTCAGCTTTAAAGGTGCAATAAGTGTTTATGTTTCATATTCATCTTCTCAAACCACTAATATAACAGCATTAGCCTCTTTGTGACCACCATCGCGTAACAAACAGATCCTCAGGTGTTTCAGTTCATTAACTTGGATGAATGCAAAAATAAGCTGGTCATGTGATCTCGACATGTTGGCCACAGTGAGTAGAATAAAATGTGTATTTTAGAAAAAAAATCAATGTAGAATAAAATTTCTTTGTACATCACTGTTATGACTGTTATTTTAGTATTATATACTATAATAGTATTTATTAATATTCATATTTTCAAGTTTTATGTGCTTTTGTTGGATTTTTACTTTTTTGTAATATTTCTGTTTAGCTTCTATTTAGATTTTTATTTCAGTTTAAGTAATTTTAGTACTTCAACATTTATTTCAGTTACTTGTGAATTCAACATTTTTAATTTTTGCTTTTTTAATTATTATTTAATAATTATTTTTTTATTTCAGCTTTATTGAAATTCCTGAAATCAATTTTTAATATTTCAATAATTTTAGTTTTAGTTACCAAGATGAGTCTTCATCTCATTTGCACATTATTGTAAAAAAGTCAAATCTACTATTCATATTTTTGTGTGCAAAGCATGTAAAGTAGAAAATAATACATATTGCACCTGTAAGGGAATAGCTGAACCAAAAACTCGAAACAAAATATATCTCTGACACTACTTTAAGTGAACACAAGCACATTTGTGTTATTTTTTTTTGTGTGTGTCCTACTCCTTTATATATGGTTTTGTATCTTTATTTTCTAAATTGGTAATTTTTATTTATTTATTTTTTTTGTGTCCTACCATTTTATATCTGATTTTGTATATTTTTTCTAATTTATTTATTTATTTGTTTATGTATTTATTTATTTATTTATATTTTTGTGTCCTACCCCTTTATGCGTATATGGTTCTGTATCTTTATTTTCTAAATTTGTAATTTTTATTTTATTATTTTATTTTGTGTCCTACCCCTTTATATATGGTTTTGTATCTTTATTTTCTAGAGATTCAAAAATGTATTCAAATGTATACAGACTAAAGTGGACTAGACATTATCTTAGATGGTGGGAAAAACAGAAAGTATGACCAGCAAGCATATCTATTGCCAATTAAATAAGAACAAGACATTTAAATGCTGCTCTCCTGCCTTTTTTTTTACCTTTTCACACACACAGTACACAGCGCACACACACACACCAAAAAAAAAAAAAAAAAAAAAAAAAAATTTTTAAAACCTAATCTTTGTTTACACCAGTGTTTTAGCCTGAAAGATACAGCGACAAGTTTCAGAAATTCAGAAATCATATTTTCCACATTACTTTGGGAAGTAATCCCTGCATTGTGGCTGAGTGTACACACCATCAGCGTTCCTGCAGCGCTGAATGCTCCCAGCTAATTCCCTCACATTAGACTCAATCATCGTCCATCACTTCAGCCATGCCGCGCAGCTCCGTGTTGACAGCAACCTCAGGGAATAGTGGCAAGCAGATGCCAGAGGACACACACGGAGCTGTCCTGACCAGAACGCCACTCGTCAGGCCACGCCGGTGCCTGCTGCCTCTCCCAGCATACCATACGGAAAGAACGGCATAAGCAGCATAACTTATCCTGAGCTCATCGCAAACAAGTCCCAACTGAGCCCCGGCGTCAGGAAGCTTACGGGGAATAAAGCACTTTGTTTGACAGAGGGGAGGCAAGGTGCGCCTAACCAGACAAGTGTGCATCACTCTGCAGTTTCCAAGTCTGGGTCCACAGCGACTGCAGCAAACTCACACTCTGTAATCCGTTTCTCAGCACTATGCAGTGTTTCTATAGTATACAGTAGGGGTGCTCCGATCAGGATTTTTTAGGCCGATCACCGATCACAGTATCTGCCGATACCGATCACCGATACCGATCTTTTTAAAGCCTTCTTTTTATACTGAAACAATGCGTTGTTACTTTAATTCAGAGCTTGCAGCGGCAATAGACTCGGTGTGGAAATGATCTCTGCACTGCTGCAGACGCGCTGCCGGTGTACTGACGAAACATGCTACCTATCAGATTGTGCTACCAAAATTGGATTTCAAATCCAAACATTGTCACTGAAAATGCTTTTTTCGGCATTGCAATTCTTTTTTCTTTTTTTTTTTTACATAGTACAGTAATACAATCTTTAACAGACATGTTTAAACAATAAATATAAGCAACACATTATTCAATGCTTTTTACTTTTGCATTTACTTCTAGATTTATATATTAAGTTGCTCAAGCAAGTGGCAAAACATTTAAACTACTTTTCTTACGTTATCACAAACGTACCATTGACAGAAATAGTCAGCTCTACTGCCTTTCCTTTTTTATTTAAATCTTTATTACAAGCAATCCTGCGGTTCATAAAGAACTTTGTTTTCCTACCTCCACGAGTGGTTTTAAGGGTAAGTTTAGGGTAAAGGTAGGTGTGGATGGGTAGGTTTAGGGTTGGGGTAGGTATGGACATTAAAAAAATCCTCAAACCACATGAATAAGATGCTGGTTAGCACAATCTGTATGTAGCATTTTTCGCTATCGATTTGTGTTACCTATCTTTTTAATGGGAGGTAGCACAATCTGAGCAGGTACAAATCATCAGAACACCGGACCGCAACCGTGTGCAGTGAATGCTTTAATCCGTTAACATGAGCGCGGAAAAAATACGCACCGCGTAAGCACTGCAAACTGAGTAATGTGAACCTGGCGTTATTTGAAGCCATTTGCGTATTTTGAGAGAGAAAGAGAGAGCAGGCGGTAATTTACTCACGCTGTTTATGAAGTTACGTCTCACACAAGGTTTTCAAATTACTTTATAAGTTATTTAATGAAGAAATATAGCATTATAATTATTTCACCCGCGCCGGACAGAGACTGAGACGGTGCCGCTGCATGTCCTGCCAAACCTCTCACAGCAGCGTCATCAGCTTGAGATCGTTTTTTTGAGATCGGCCTTTATAGAGACCGCCGATCAAACATCCCAAAGTGATTATCGGCCGATAGTGATCGGTAGCTGATCAATCGCTGATCAATCGGAGCACCCCTACAAGAAATGGCACCACATCTGTAAACAGAACATCATTACTAACAAGATGAAAAACTATGTAATAATGACAGACTCTTTCATCAGCATGAAATGGTAAGAAAGTTAAATGTAATGACGTAATGTTGCCTGCAGAATTCCTAAAAAAAAACACA